GGTGTTCTGAGCAGCTTGTGAGAAAAGGAACTCAGCCTGCATTGCTGAGCTGTCCAACATTGCTTGTCTTGGAAATGTGCTAGACCAAAGTACAGGACCCACTGTGGAACGTGACTTGCCAGACCGTGAGGTAACAGGATCTGTGTAAGAGCAGTCAGACACCGATAAACAGAACATTCTCATAGTGTCTGCACCCACTGAGGCAATGTTGCTGTCCAACATTGCTCGCTTCTATCCACATTTCCTCCAAAACAAGAGCACCTAGGAGCTGCTTTGGGAGGGTCAGTTGGGGGGGTGGGTCGACAGTCTTTTTGAGGCCAGGAACCCTACCTCAAGTTTCAAGTTTTTAGGCATTTTAGTAATGTATTTGCCTGGGTATTAGATATGCATGGTAACTATGCCATGCACTTTCATTTAAGAATTTTTAAAATATTTTTGCTTTTAATTTAGTATTTTCAGTTTTGAAAATTTTATATACAGGTGCTCTATTTACATCACTTTTTTTTTTTATCCCTTTTCTTCCTCTTCCAACTCTTCTCAAGTCCTGTACCTCCTCTCAGATTCATGACTCTTCACTTATGTCTCTCATACACACGCACCCATGCACGCACATACACACACACACACACACACACACACACACACACACACACACACTGTAAATATAAATATATAAATACAGGCTGCTGAGTGTTCCTCCTATGTGTATGCATTTCTGTTTAGGGTTGACCACTGGAAATTGGACATTCTATGGGTACTTGTCTCTGAATAAGACTGGTTTTCCCTCTCTCCTCGGCCATTAATTGCCTGTAGCTCTTTAGCTATAGGTGGGGCCTTTTGAAATTCCCTGCCATCTACACTGGTGATGAGATTGTGCAGATCTTGATTAGATGCCATGCTTCTGGGATTTCATGCATGCAGCTTCCCTATCGTACATAGAAGACACTGTCTTGCAGCGGTCATTCTGGTCCTCTCCCTGGCTCTTACAGCCTTTCTTCCCCTCGATATTCCCTGAGCCTTCAGTGCAGGGGTTGTGTATCAATTGTGATTGGATACCCCACTGTCTCTTTCTGTATTTCAACCACTTGTGAATTTCTGCGATCATCTTGGCTGCAAAAAGAAGCATCTTTGAGGAATAAGAGTTAACAGATGTCTGTAGATGTTTATTATTTATTAAATATTATCCTGACTTAGGGAAGGGGCAATAATAGGTTCTCCTCAAGGATCCACGACCTCACAAGCCATGGGCTGTTGGCTGGGTTTATAGCAGTAGACATGAATTCTCTCCAGTTGACAGTGACTTAGTCCACCTGGACTGCTGTTGGTTACAAATGCCACAGTTGTATCCTTGGAGACATCTTGCCAAGCTGCAGTCTTGTCAACTTTGTAGCCTTTGCAGCACTGTGGGGCTGTTGATAGCTTTTTCCCTATTGGAAGCTTACACTGCACCTTTGGATACTGTGAGCTTTCATCCTTAGGAAGGAGGCTTTCAGCTCAGGTCTAGCTTGATCCCTCCAAATCTTGTGCCTGAAGTGTGTGCTGTGTTCAGCAGTAGGGTCTTCCCTTTGAGTTCTGGGAGGCAATCACGAGTAACAGCCATCATCTATACTGTTCTGGGACTCTCTTGGACTCTCCTGGCCAACAACTGTAAGAGATTTCCCACTCTTACAGGTTTGTTAAGTCAATGGCTCTTGTGGGGAGTATTAGCACCCCAAGCAGAGCCACTGCATTTAAACAATATATATGTATGTATATACACACATTTATATATTTGAAGTAAGCATAATAATTTCCCCTGTGGACTTTTCAGGCATATTCAGTGTTATGTATTCTCCTCTCTTCATTTCTGAGTTTCCCTCCCTTCCTCTTCTCAATTAAATCACACCCATTTACCCCCATTCATTCCAGCTTTATAGTACCTGTGTCTTAATACCCTCCTTCCTAGAGCTCCTTTTTACTCTGGGGTACTCGAAAGATCAGGAGCCAGGACCCACGAATAAGAGAGAACATAGTGTTTGTCTTTCTGGGTCTGAGTTCCCTCGCTCTATGTATTTTCTAGTTCCATCCATTTATCTGAAATTTTCATTTTGTTTACAACTGAATAAAATCCCATGCATCTTATTTTTAACAGAATAAAGTGGTGAAATTCCAGGTGTTTCTTGGTTTGTTTAAGGATCAGAGACTCCTGTACTCATTGGAGAGTGAGAAGTGGTTTTAATGTTTAACTGGGAAACTTCCAGCAAGCCATGAGCGCTTAAACATAACTGATCAGTCTAGTTTGGGGGCACTCCCTGGCTTGGGGCCAGGTTGAATTGTGGCTTTGCTTCTTCCTGATGAAGAATGCCTTGGTCTTCCATTTGTGTTGTCATAATGTGGCACACAAGGCAGTTGTGACTGACACGGTGGAAGGTAAGGGAGGAGCCCTGTACAGCTCCTCCTCTCTCCAGGCTCCCTTCTGTGTTTCATGTAGAGATGCTCAGGCTAAAGTTTCAGAAACTAGGTACACACAGGGTCAAAAACCATGTAACTGACAGCTTTTCAAAATACATCTGATAGGACTAGAGAGGTAGCTCAGTTGTTACGAGTATGTATTGAGCCAGGCACTCTGCCACACTTCTGTAATCCCCACACTAAGGGAAGCAGAGGCAGATATCTGTGAGTTCAAGGCCAGCCTGTTCTATAAAGGCCATCCAGGATAGCTAAGGCTACATAGAGAAACCCTGTCTCAAAAACAAAACAAAACAAAGAAACCCAAAATTTTTAAAAAATACATAGTGCTCTTGAAGAAGACCAGAGCTTTATTCCCAGCACTCAGCATCAGGCAGTTCAAAACTGCCTGTAACTCTAGCTCCAGGAGATCCGATGACATCTTCTGGTCTTTTTGGGCACCTGGGTACGCATGTGGACACAGAGCCACCCCCACATACAAACAAAATAAACACATAATTAAAAATTTAAACAATGTTTAAATCTTAAAATGTATCTCATGGTGCCTAGTAAGAGAAATTTTCTGAAGCAAAGGACTTTCTTCCTTGTATCAGTAGATGTCCTTAATTTGTCAGCGTAGATATGAAAGTAATGAGTGTTGAGTGGATAAAATGAGAGTTCATACAGTGGTTTTTAAAAATCAAACTGTGAACACGGATAGGGTTTTACTACCTTTCCAGTAAAATTGGTGGAGTGTCATGAGCACATATCTCTGAAATTAAATCTTTGCTTTTCCCTTTCAAGCATGACTATTAGCCTTGTGCAGCGCAGCCCTGACTAGCTATTCCGCCATGGCAGTACTTCCAAAGCAAGTCAGACTACAACTTCCAGTTGCCAACGCGTTTCTTCCATTGGAAAAACATTGAGATTAAGTCCATGATTGCTTATTTAAAGCAAGGGTCTTGGTTCTCTCAGATCATGTACATTTTACATCTATGTCTGTTTGCTTTGTCTTTTGATGGAAATTGCTATTGTTCTACAATTTTTATTTTTCTATGAGTGTCTGAGTGTGCATGCTGTGCCCACAGTGCCTGTGAATGCCAGAAGAGAACATTGGATCCCCTGGGACTGTAGTCACAGACTGTTGTGAACCACCATGTGGGTGTTGGGAACTGTATCCATGTCTTCTCTGGAAGAGCAGCCATGGCTCATAACTGCTGAGCCATCTCTCTAGCCCCTTAATCAGTTTTTAGTTGGACAGAATACAGGATCTAAATAGTCCATAGCACACTTAAAAAATGTTCTTGGCAAACAGATGTTGAGAATTTATGTGTGTAGAGATAACGTATCTGTATCAATATGTTTACCCATATTTATGCTTTCTGGAGTTATAAAAGCAGCTTTTTAGTCCACATGGTTCTAGTTTTATTGTTTGTTGTTGGAAAGACAAAGAGTAGGCAGATTAGCGTTGATGTAGTGTCTGACTACTGTATGCTCCACAATAAAATCCCTCCAAATCTAGATGCTGCTGAGGCGATATTAGCAAAATCACCTGGGGTTGTCATGCAGCTGGTGTGCCTTTGAGGCGAACAGTGGTTGCTGTGTGGACTCTGTGTCACACAGTGCTGAATTGGCTCGGTGTGCTGCTGCTGAATCTGCCCCAGATAATTGTTGTCAGGGAAGAGCATCTGCCTTTTCCGCAGTGCCCAGCCAACTGTCATATATCTGGAAGGCAGGACTGTCTGCTGCGAAGAGCACCATTCTTGGATTTAGTAAGGGTGAGAGCAGTGTAATTGTAGCTACAGTATTAAGTCAGTTGTGTGGTCAGAGCCTTTCATTATATTATCCTGGATGCATTGAAGGGGAGGTATTTTCCCTGGTGGATGATGGCCATGGGGTAGAGCACTTGGCTTCTGTAGATGAGACACCCTAGTTTATTTTTATTATTGTATTCATAATATATTTATATAGTAATAACATTATAAGAAATACATAATTTATTACATTTATATTGACTGGGCATGCCACAGAGGAGGTCAGGAAACAGTTTGCAGGAATTGGCTCTGTCTTTCCACCAGCAGATCTTAGTGGTTGAACTCGGGTTGTCAGGCTTGGTGGCAAGCACCTTTCCCTACTGAGCCATCTCTTCAGACTAAAGACAATCTGCTTTAAAACAGGCATGATCTTTCACGGATAACAGGAAGAACTTGTAGCCCCTTGATATTAAAGGCACCACTGTACACAGGACAGCACATTTTTAACATTCTGAAGCTGAGAGGCACATAGCTGGCTTTTGTCTTAGTTGAGGGAATGGTCTTTAGTGCCTGGTGAGTTATTTCTGCATTTTTGATATGTAAGGTATTCCTGGGTCAAAACATTATACTTTCATTAATGGCATTGTATGGAAATTTGGGAAGTAAAGATTATGTTGGGTGTGGTGGTACGAATTTTTATCCAGTGGACTAGCAGGAAAGGTTTTAATAAGCGCAGCATGTGGGGGATGTGGACAGTGTGGGGAGAGTAGGAACCTATAAGGCGTTTTCCTAACACTGTCTTCTTCTTTGCGTTTCTAGTCTTTATAACCTGGCTTCACTGGAACTGAGAGAGAATCTTCTTACGTATCTTCCCGAGTGAGTCTCTGGGGGAAATAACAAGGGTTTTGTACAGAGTCAGTAGGAGTTTAGTCCTTCCTGCCACATCCAAATGAGGCATGCTTTTGGAAGCTAGTCCAGGAAAGGAAGTGTTTCTCGGCCTGCCTTGAGCCTTCCCTGAGTGCTGGTGTTGTTGTTGGTTGTTTCAACAGATCTCTCACCCAGCTAAGGAGACTAGAAGAACTTGATTTAGGAAACAATGAAATCTTTAATTTGGTAAGTGTCTATTGGAGATATTTGATGTTTCTCTGTTGCTAAGATCACAGATGTGTTTGAGGAATCACCAGGGATGTTTTTCTTCAGATGCAGCTTGGGAACACTGGCAACGTGCTTGAGTTCACAGTGGTTGAGAAAAACGGTTTTGGGGGAGACTCAGGACTGGAGACCTGAGCACGAGGGGAGGTGTTTGCATCAGGGAAAAGCCTGGGGTGGGTTCAGGGACAGAGTATTGACAGGAGAGAGGTAACAGCTAATCCAGCTGTGTTAGTTGATGTTTCTTTGTTCCATAAGGGTAGAAGGTGGTCTGGGGTCTTGTTACTATAACGGTACCTTTTGCTTCAGCCAGAATCAATTGGAGCGCTCTTCCTCCTGAAGGATCTCTGGTTGGATGGAAATCAACTGTCTGAATTACCTGAGGTAAGTGGAAATTTTACAGGATGTGTCTGGAAGTGTGTAGCAACAACAGTAAACTTGTGTGTTCCCTGTGTCTGTGGGGCTTTCTAGAGGACCACAAAGACAAGAAACGCTGTTTAAAATACCCATCTGGAGATCCGCCTTGAACTTCCATCATTGTGCACTGCCACGGGAGATTGAAAAGCACAACCCGCTGTCTCTGAAGATACAAAAGTCTTTGGTCTCATCCTGCTCCCCAGTATGACTTACTTCAAGCCCAGCAGATCTATAAATCACGAAGACCATAACTCTGACAGTCTATGTCTCTCCTGCGTTTAGTGCTATGCCCAAGTGCTGCAGGATAATTTTGACTACATTCTTCCCTGTGGTAGTTAATGCAAAGGCAATAATAAGAGCCTCCCTGCCCCTCGTAATGCTCGCGGTTAGAGCTGGTGTGCCCTGGGTTTAATCATTTCCCTGCTGTTGTCAACTGTGAGACCTGTGTTCTAAATGAGCCAAGTGGGCTGTGGCCACCTTCTGTGTGGATTCCAATAGGATTGACTGAGAAATCCCCAGAAAAAAAAAAAAAAAACAAAACAGCATGACAGGCATTTCTTCCTGTTACTCCTTTTTTTTTTTTTTTTTTTTTCTCTGTCTCAGAGTTTGATTCTTAAGTGTTCAGAGACTGTGCCTTTCATTTTAAAACAGTTCACACACTGCCCACTTGACTGTTTGGCCCAGTAGTGATGGGGATGTGAGTGGTGGGTGGCGAGTGACAGATTTAGGCCAGGAAGTCTGGCACTAGAAGGAAGCACTGAGCTAAAATCCTAGTTGTCACTGTTGCAGCTCTGAGGTTACCAAGACGTCACTTAGTAACCAGCGGAACTGGGAAACTAATTAGACTCTACTTCCGAGGTTTGAGCTGCAGTTCAGAAGGAGAAGCAGATACGGAACTTTGACTAATACTTAGATTTCACTGGGACGTACGCAGAGTCCTTGTGGAGAGAACTTGTGGGTGGGAGGGAATACTGTGGAGTACCCGAGTGTAATAAAATACCAGCCATGTGTCATTAAAAGGGGGAGAGTACCTGTCCGTGCAGATGGGTATAAATGACTTTGTGACATATGGCATTCTAACCACAAAGGAATCGGATGTCCAGTGGATCATGAGACTTACTTAAAAGTCTCATTTTCCTCTAGTAAGTGCTAAACTCAAAGCCTCCTTCACGCTCTGTGTCTGTGATTCATAAGAGTTTTTAATCATTTTCATTGAGAAGGGGGGTCTAGAAATTTACTCTAGTATTTACGCCTAGATATTTGCTAAAGTAACATACATAGAACTAAGAAATTAAATTATTTTATGTTATTTTAGTATCTTATGTGTGAGTGTTTTACCTGCATGCGTATCTGTCCACCATATTGGTTCAGTGTTCCTTGAGGCTAGAAAAGAAGGCATCGGATCCCCTGGGACTGGACTTAACTTCCATATTGGTGCTGGGAATTGAGCCCAGGTCTCCTGGAAGTATAGCCACTGTTCTTAACCACTGAGCCATCTCCCAGCCTTGGAACTGAGGACTTTTAAACCATTCTTTCATATATATACAATGTATTTTGATCATACCTACCCTTTGTCCTCTTCCTCCAACTCTCCTTATCCCTCTTCATCCTCTTCCAGCTTCATATCCTCTTTTCCCCTCTTTTCTTTTAGACCCACTTAGTCCAGTTAGCATTGCCCATGTGTACATAGGCATGGGGCTACCCATAAGGGCCACCCTCCCAAAGAAAAATGACCCCTTCCCCAGCAGCCATCCGCTGCCAGTAGCTCCTCTCTTGGGGTGAGGCTTTGTGAGCCCCCGCCCAGTCTGTGCTTGGATTTTGGCCAGCCTGATCTTGTGCAGGTAACCACATCTGACAGGAGTTCATGAGTGCAGCGGCCGAGTCATGCTCAGAAGGCAGCACCTCACACCACTGCCCCCACAGCCTCCACCTCTTATGTTCTTTCCTGCTTCTGTGATGTGGACCTGGGGTTTGACTGTGAAAAAAACCCTATTCCTTTGTGTCATGCCAACCTCAAGCATGCATTTCTCTTTCTTTGCACTAACACAGGAAATAGGGAATCTGAAGAACCTGCTCTGCCTAGATGTCTCTGAAAACAGGTTGGAAAAGCTTCCTGAAGAAATCAGCGGCCTGACTTCTTTGACAGACTTAGTCGTTTCTCAGAACTTAATGGAAGCAATTCCCGATGGCATCGGTAAGTGTTGAAAAGTACCAGACATAGAGTTCCACCTGCCATTGTCTTGAGTGGTTGGAACTCACTTTAATTCTTTGTTCATCTCTATTCAGTGCTGGGAATGTGGCTCCTCATTTCTTGTTTTTAAAGAAGGAAAGCGGGAATTTTTAATGCAGTGTAAGTTTCAAATACCTGTTCATACTAGTTTGGAAAAAAATACCTATGATAGTGTTACTTTCAGGAGTTGATTCACGAGTAGTTTATCCATAATTATGAAAGTGATTAGCCACAGTAAGAGGGCATGTTTAAGGTAAATGACTAGTCACTAGAATGTCTAATACCAGCATCCTAAACAGTTCATGAGAGCGTAACTCAGACTTCACTGGAACTTAGGTCTGCATTGGACTTGGTCGTCTCAATACGAGCACATTGGGAAGGTGCTTTTAAAGGGACAGTAGCAGAGCTCAGCTTTTTCTGAAATGCTAGGAAACATCTTTTAACTCTCCTTTAGTACTTTGAAAATAATTTAGGTTTCTTTTTTCTGTTCTGCTCTTTCCAACTTTTCCTTTCTCCCCTCCCTCTCTCCCCCTCCCTTTCTGAGACAGGGTCTCACCATGTACAGAGCTCTTCCTGTCCTGGAATTGGTTATGTAGAGCAGCCTGGCCTCAAACTCATGGAGATCTGCCATTTGCTATTTTATGGGTTCTTTCTGCCACCTTTCTCCACCCCTTTTCCTTCTCTTTCTACCCTCTAAACAGTAGATCTGAGGGGTGGGGGTGGGAATGGATAGAGAGGAAAGGAAAGAGATCCCTAAATAAAGGCAGGGAGCAGAATTATTGTTAGACTACTTCCTGCTGACTAGGGCCATCTAGCTCGTTGGGGGCAAGTTAGTTCTTTGCTGTCAGGATATCTAATTTCTACTTCTTGTTTCTTCTTTGCACACAGCTACTTAACAAACTATAACCAACAACCAACCAACTACCCACGCCACCTCTCGGGGCCCTAGCATTTTATATGTCCTCTGAAGTGTCCCCAGAATTCCAAGCATCACACAATTGCAGAAAGTATCTACAGCTGGCCAAATCATACCTCCGCTAGAGCATGAGGCAAACCATAGTCAGCTGCTGTGGATCAGCTCCATATCCCCACACCTGGGCTTAAAACAAAATACAATATTTCTCTCTCTCTGTGTGTGTGTTTTAAAGAATCCAAAATTCTCACTACAGAGATCTGCCTACCTCTGGCAAATGCTGGGATCAAAGGCCTTCAGCACTGTACCGCAGACACATGTCATTTAGTGTGAGAAATTAGTTCAGAATGTGATAGAACAAGTGTTGTTGTTATTTAAGCTGTGAAAAAGAAAAAGATTATCATATCTTTTTTTTTTTTTGTCTGATTAAACAAGATCCTGAACTTGTTTTTTTAAGTAGGGGTTTTTGCAGGGTTTTCTTATATACACTGCTAATCCTGTGAGGAAGAGAAATGTCTGTTTTAATGTGGTTTTTCTGGTTGTTCATTTGTTTGAATTTCTCAGATAGAAAGCCATATAACCTAGAAAATTTGAAAGCAGAACCAAATCAATATTTGTTTGTTTTTTTTGTTGGCACACCTGTTTAAAATGTTAATATTTAAATGTGCTAATAATGAAAACATTCATACACAGGCACACATGAGTGCACACACATGAAAGGGGGGGGGGAGATAGCAGGGACAGGTAGCCCGTCACAGTGCTCCCTGGAGCCTGGAAGGAACTGTGTTTAACCACAGGTTGTTGTAAGATTACAGAGAAAAGTGTGGCCAGTGGCCTCTTCCTTTCTAGTGTTTGGTCACAGTGCAAGTGGTAAGTGATGATAGCAGTCAGCTAAGCTACGGGTGCTGTGTTTTGGTCGGTACCAGTTGAAAAACAGGTGGGGATTTTGACTTTGTAGAAATGGTCATTCAGAAAATCATAAATGGTATCACGTGACTGGCTGTTTTGCTGCTTGGAATAGGAGGACTGGGCAGATAGGAGCTGGCATCAAAGCACTGTCTGTAGCAGGGCCCTCTGCAGCAGGCTTAGGAAATCTTGTAGTTTAGATGGGCAAAATCCTGAGGACTGGAAATCTTAGTTTCATTTGAAAAGCAGGGCGACTAGTCTCTTTGCCTTGTGGCTCTGCCCAAGGACAGAGTTCTTCCTTCATTTCTCTTTCCCCAGCTTCATATTTCTATTTGTGTAGAGGGCTATCTTCTCACTTAATGGAGAAGGTGTCAGTGCTAGGATCTCCATAGATAATGAAGGGTACCTGTGTGGTTGTTTTTTTCCTGACTGCAGCTGAAAGGAAGGATCTGAGTGATGTAGGTATTTTCTTGGGACTTGGAGGTGGCTGTTAGACTCTTCTTCTTTCCCCTTGTCCTGTGGGTGTCTGTTAAGACTTCCTGTTCAGAAGTTTGTTGGAGCTTCTGCCTTTTCTGCACACACAGAGATACTTTGGCTAGGGTCTTCACTGAACCATTGCATTTACATGTGTCTAGTCAGCTATTTCAGTGGGGGTGACGGGGCCAAATGAGGGTCCCTTCCATACACTAAACAGCTCCCACTCTTAAAAAAAAATGTATCAGTAACCAACAATTTGTCTTTTATGAGATTTTCTGTCCTCAGTCTTTTTAGTTAGCCCCTTCAGATGATTTGTTTCTAATTACCAGCTTTCTGATGTGCTGAACAAATAACTCTTGACTCTCAGTCTTTAGTGATCTAAATGGGAATGATACATTTTCAGTTTGAAAAGCTGGATGGAGAAAGAACTAAGTAATTTTTTTAAAACAAAAAGGAACAATAGATAAGAAAAAACCAAGTGGGGATTAGCCAAAGAATCACGACTAACGAGTTTATATGACACTTTCGTAGGAAAACTAAAGAAGCTGTCAATCTTGAAGTTGGATCAGAACAGACTCATACAGTTGCCTGAAGCAATTGGGGATTGTGAAAATCTCACGGAATTAGTTCTCACAGAAAACCGTCTCCTGGTGAGTGCTGTGTATGTGTGTGTGTTGTTATTGTGTGTCGTTGTTTTTGTTGTGTTGTGATGAGGATTTGTGATGAGTTCTCTGCATCACCTGCATATCGAGGTGTGGCCTGAAGACCATAAGCAAAGAGTGTTTTGGCTGCACACTCAGCATGTGTCCTCACTGAACTCAAACTATACCTATCCCTGGTGACACCTGCCTGTAAGCTCCCTGTGTCCAGGGTGTACATGTGGACCCAGCAAGAGAAATGGTGCCTTCTCAGGGAAAGCCCTGAGGGGTCTTCTGAGCTAGAGAAAGGTATCAAACACTTTGAGCAGGACCGCTGCTAACCACTGAAGGCAGCTGCTCAGACTCCCACTTTGACCAAGCTTCCTCTCCCTTCCCGGGGCAAAGAGTGTTTGCACCCCCTGCCCAGGGTGGGTCAGCACAGTGGCAGCTAGGCTCTCCTGTCTGCCCCCTTCCTGCCCCTCCCTTTGCTTCCCCTGTCAGGTCCACTGTTCATCTCCTTTCCTCTACTGTAATTGTCTTGTATGTTCCCTTTCAAGAGTCAACTCCTTTGCTCTTTTCTTTGTCTCTTTTGGTCACTCTTCTTTCTACCCTGTAATTCCTTCTTCCCTCTTGATTGACCTTTCTCCTGTGTTAAGTACAATATTTGTTCATTAGGTGGAAAGAGGAGTGGGAGACAGTCTAAAAGACTGAGAACTGAGATGTGGAGGGGCCCCGGCAGCATCCTTCCTTAGTAGGAAGGTGGCAGAAGTTCCCAGATCTTCCCGTCTCAGTGGTGGTTTCAGGCTAGAAACCATAACAGTTAGAAAATACTCACCCTCACATCTTCCTGTGACATTACAGAGCCCCTGTGAGCCCAGCCTCCTCCTGGAGGGCTCTGCCGTGCGTCCCAGGCCTGCTCACCTTTCTCCATGCCCACCTGGGTCTTTCTGCTCCCCTAGCCTCACAGTATGTGAGCAACAGTCTGGCCTTCACATGTCAAGGCCACCGTCCACTGACCTGTGGCTATCTAATAGGCTGGCAGGGCAGGTATAAACCTTGAGGGTATAAATACACACTTTCTTGAATGGAAGAACATTACATTCCCCTGTCTCTGCCTTTGTTTTAATTTCTTTCAGACATACTGTCAATATCACCAGAAATTCAGAATACTTAATTACATTTCCCCAAGTGACCATTATGGACATCTGATACTTAGGAAGAATTGTTTACTTTTGTTGATATCCTTAAAGTCCTTACGAACGATTGCTTTTTCTGTTGAGCTATGCTTTAAAAAGTTAGTGATAACTTAATAACAGAAATATTATTTTAACAGACTTTACCTAAGAGCATTGGAAAACTTAAGAAGTTGAGCAACTTGAATGCAGACAGAAATAAATTAGTGTCTTTACCAAAAGAGGTATGTGCCACTAAAGAAAAAAAATGTGGTAATAATTGTCACACATAAGGGATAAAAAAAAATGTCCATGAGTGTTTTTTAATGTTTAAAAGATATGTGGTGCATTTAAAGTTATGAGTGTGAACCTAATTGGAGAACTGAATCCAAGAATGAATTATCAATAACATTTAAGAGAGTTAAGAAAGGCATATTCATAGGCTTTCAAATAGAAGAAAAAGACTGACATTTTGATACAAAGAGAATGACTGTTGACAGAAATGGATAATTTGGGAACTTGCCAGAGAATGTGTGGATGGTTTGGGGTTTAATTGTCGCATTTAACCAGAAACCATTATTGTGCTTATGAAAGTGGACCTTTATGAAACCTTGTTTCTTGGCAGAGATTTAGACTAGGCCATGTTAATGCCTAAGATGGGAATCCTCTCCAAAGCCATACTACAGAGGAAGGCCAGCAAGAAGCTGCCTTCTATGCTTCCACCTCCTCCTGCGTCACCACCCTCCTCCCCCTCCTTGTCCACCATATACCCATACTAGTGAAAAGAGATAATCACCTTCCATTGCAGAGTAACTATGGGCTCTTCAGAGGCTTTTAAAGTCCATTAGAGGAGGTGGAAATGCTGACCAAGAGAGAACCCACAGTGAATGAAGCATGGAGCTATCTAGGGCCCTTTCGGGAAGACTTACTTTGTAATGGGAACTGAGAGAGCTGTACTTGATAGAGGAAAACTGAGCTTGCCTCTTTGTTGTTGTTTTTAGTTCTTGTAACTTGGTCAGAGGCTGAGGTTATGATCCTTTGCCTTTATCGAATAAACGATTGCTGAGAGTTGTGTTGGTTGGGTCCTCATAAAAACCTCTTTCCTTGATATGATCATTAGCCAACTTGAGTTTTGTTCCTATCTCTCCGCTCTGACCCTTTCACCATCTGTCTGGGAATAATTTCAAAGTTGCTGGCTAACTAACCAGACCTTGAGGGCCACAGCTTTCTTTCCCTAGGCTACTGTACATGGTTGTGGGCTTCCTCTTTTTCTTCCTCAGCTCTGTTCTCTGCTCACAATGCCCCGTCTCTTCTGAGTAAGTTGGATAACCTTCCTGAGTGGAAGCAAGAGGGTACAGATTAAAAATACGGCACATTTATAATAGGACACACCTTTAACATGAGCTGTCACATCTAAACAAAACTGTCTCCAACAGTTTTGGAGATTTGGCTCCACATCTCAGCCAAATCGGGACACATCTAAGGTTCTGCTAATCAAAACATTTTGATTCTACTCTGTAAGCAGTAAACCAAAACACAGCTGATAGTGTGAACATTAGTTCTTCGCCTTGTGGGATAGCATTTGTAGATGGGGAATGGATTGGATGCAGAATCGGTACAAAGAGAAGATTTGTCACTTTCTTCCTTAATGCCCTGCTTGGTTTGAGGTGATTCTGTGTAGCTCTACCTGCTCAGCCTTTTGAAGTCATGAGGATTTCCTAAGTTCACAGATGCAGAAACTGAGGCCAGTCAGTTTTTTAGCTCCAAAATGACTCTTCCAGTCTCTAAATCGTTGTGATTAGCCAATAAACACAGGGCTACACAGGGGATTCAGATTCATCACGGCCTTTTCATCATGTGTGCCCTGGAGATTGTACAAAAGCTTGAGTAGGTAAGGAAAGGTCAGGTGACTATGAGTGTGGGGGTTCTACAGCATTACTGTGGCATGGAGCTTTGAGGCAGATGCTAAGAAGGAGCACGTCTTAGCAATGACAACCTTTCCCCAGCATCTCTGGATCCCTCATGAATTCTGTTTTCCAGGGACACATCTTAGGCAAGAACTTCTCACGTTTTTTATTACAAAATCCCCACTGTCATTTTAACAACAATTCATCTTTTTTTTAAGGAATGAGTCTCCAGGGCATTTCTGATTAGAGAGAGACACGGAGCCCCCTGGTGACTGCCGAAGCCCACCACAAAAATACGTTTAGCCGTGAGGCGCTTGCACCATCACATTTTGTCTGTTCCCTGGCACACAGAGTTGTATAACTGAATAAAACAGATACTTTTGTCTTCAGCCTCTTGGTAAAGCAGAAACATTTTGATTTTCAGGAGTGAGCTTTTTCTAGACTATCTTCAGCTCTACTCATACACACTCAGATCCCAGGATAAGACACTCACCGAGTGTACGTGTCTGACTCTGCCATGGGTCAGTTTGGTAACCCAGCAGAAATGGGCTGACGGCTTGATTGATCAGGGCCGAACAACTAAACCACAGCGGATGTCCGAACCACGTGTCAAGTCTCCAGTATGTGCAGTCAGTGCAGTCTTCCCTGTGACCGATGGTCTGTGTGTGAACATCATCTCTGCCACCGTGCCTGATACCCCTCGATCAGGTCTTCCACTTCCCTTTGAGAAATGCATTACCTTTTTTCCTTGATCAGTTAAGTTGCATACACAGCATATCTAAGCTCGACAAAACCTAATCAGCTTTTGTGTCCCAGGTACTTAGCTGTATACTTGCTGTTGGTTTGGTCCTGTAGTTCCATATTGTGTCGACAGCCTATTTGATGGTATTGTATATTGTCTGTCCCCTTACTCTCCAGCCGCATGTATTTCCATCTATTTTCCCAAATGACTGAGGGGAAGATGATTGTACCGTTTGGAACATAGTGAAGGATCCTGTTCGTGTTTCACGGTGTTATTTGTGGTGAACATTTGGAAATCAATGAATGTCTCTTGTTTTCTTAATCGTTAGCTGCTTGGAATTTTAGAAAAGTCAGGTAAACTTGTCATCTTGTAAGTATTGTTTTGCCTACAGTTACATCTCAGACTCCCGTTTTGCTTCATACGTGCATGAAGACTCAAACTGGCTGGCTGCTGTGTGTTCATCATTGTACAATATGGACGTCTTCTCTATAAATAAATGTAATGACTGCATGGCCTGGTCTATTGTATCATTATGTGTTTTTCACATTTGTTCAAATTACTCACAAAAGAATGCTTTTCTGTGACTTACATTGTAAGTTATTCAGAAATTTTGAAAGGCATCTTTTGCCACGTTGTCTGCCTTCACTGCATCGTGCTTTGTCAGCATGTTTCTGGCTTGTGGTGGAAAGGCTAACCCTGGATCATTTGCTACACAGAGCATGCTTCTGAGCTCCCAACCACTTACTTGTGTGCTTTATTTCCCATTCTGTCGCTTAAGTGTATATACTTCTTGGGGAAGGGGAAGAGTTATATGCAAAAAGTATAAGCAGGGAGAGCCTGGGTGTGAGCCTGGGTCTGATGAATGAGGGCAAGTACCTTCAGTATCCCCCAGCCATATGCTACCCTGAAACACTTTCTGGCTAAAAGAAATTGAGCATGTGGCCATGTGTAGAATACAGAGGGGAATTTTTTTTTTTTTCTAAATTGGATCAAACTTGGAATGGTATTATATCACACCTGTTTGGTCAAATGGGATAAGGTAGATTTTTAGAATATTCATAAAAGATATTTTTCTTCAGGAAGTATACAAATATTAATTCCCTGAAGTTCAGAAATGTCTGTGGTGAGCAAGTATTCATTTCACAGATAGCTTTTTGCCTTATTCTTTAATTTTGTCTTATTCTAAGTTGCTCTTACAGTTTAAGGCTGTTGGTAGTAAGTATAATGTAAAACGTACATATTAGACCAAAATACAATTGACTAAACAATCTGAAGACTGAGAATTCATTCCTAAGTTTGAAAGAGGAAATAAGTCATTAAAGAAGCAGTTGACAGCACTAAAGAGATGGCTTAGATGGTAAAGTGCCCACCACACAGACATGAGGACCAGAGTTCATCCCCTGGAGCCCTCGTTAAAAAAGCTAAGCATGTAGTCCCAGCACTGGGGAGAGAGAGTGGATCCCTGGGTGTTCCTGACATGCCAGCCTACCCTAACTAGGGAGTCCCTGGCCAGGGAGACACCTGTGTCTACAAAGTAGAATGAGACCCTATGAAAGATGAAATTGCTGTCTGACCTTCAGATACACACTAAGCTTCACCTGCTTGCAAGCACAAAACAGTTGATTATGGTAGACTTGTCACCTGGAAATTTTATTATCTAAGGAGGATGAAGAACAACGTATGGGTAGGAAGACATTTCATCTCACATGAAGAAAGTCGTAACCATTATCAGAAAGTTCTTCATGTCACTGAGCAAAAGGCGTATCCATCACAGAAAAGTAAACAAAACCCAAAACAAGTGATACCCAGAAAGGGAGGGTACAGGGAAAAATAGCCTCATTGGTTTTCATGGAAGTGTGAAAACATTTTAATCTATCAGAATTTTAAGTTCTTAAGTTGTCAACCAGATGTTGACAAATACTACAGGGAGGTACATTTTATCATGTAAGTATGAATTGTTAGAGCTGTCGTTGGAGAGACCACTAGAATTATGAAAAACTTTAAAACACATGTATACCATTTCCTCTTCTCTTCCTAGAAGTTTATTCTTAAAATATAATCCATTGATGCTAAGACACACAAAAGACTATACCTCATGTTTTACACGGGAGCACCAAGCATGCATGCTCCAGGCACCATCCTAGAGGCACATGAAGTAGTTCCCATTGACTAGAAACTGTCCTGAGTGTAGGTATCTAGAGGCAGCCATCGTGGACCAGTCTCTTGTGTCAAGTGCTTATTCCTGTCTGATTTTTACTATGCTTTTGTGAGGTGTAGACAATTCAGTCTACAACATCAAGACACTCAGCAGATACTATAGCAAGAAACCATGTAAATCAACATTCAACAGATTATTAAACTAGTGCTGGAAAAGAAGCAAGGGAGTGTCAAGACTGGTGAGGACTGATAGTATGGCCATAGTGTCGGCACATTCCTCTAATCTCAGCACTTAGGAGGCAGAGCCAGAGAGATCTCTGAGTCTGAGGCCAGCCTGGTCAGTAGAGCAAGTTCCAGGACATCCAGGGCCACACAGAAACCCAGCCTTGAAAAATGAGAGGGTGGTAGTGGAGAGGGAGAGGAAATAACTAGCAACATCAAAAATGTATTAATAAATAATCTGTCATATATCTGTAAGGGAAAATATTGTGGGGTCAAGAAAAGCCTTGAGAAATACAGTGACATTAGAACATGTTCTTGATGATATACATGCTAAAGATCATAGTGTCTTATATATGTGTTCCAATAATTTGTGGAATTCCAAAACTATATAATTTCAAAAATGTTCATAAAGTGAACATTTATATAATACAGCAAGGCTCTGCAAAGGATTCTAAAATTATGTATATTTTATTTTTTTTGTTCACCTTGTATTTCAAGCCAGATTCTGTTTTCTTTGCCTGTGAAATGTGGGTTCTGTTCTTCTCCCAATATTGAAAGGACAATACTGAGAACAAACAGTCTCTCAAGTGCAGGCAGCTGTTTGCAATGATGAAAAGCAGCATGGTGGTTGACCTAGACTGTTCCTCTGAATTACTGGTCTGATTGTTGTTTCCATAAAAAGTCACCCCTTCAGAGCAGTGGTTCTCCACCTGTGAGGTGTGGTCCCTTTGGGGATGCTGAACGACTCTTCCACAGGGGACACGTCGTAAGACCATTGGAAAACACAGATACTTATATTATGATTCATAACAGTAGCAGCATACAGTTACGAAGTAGCAATGAAAATAATTTTACGGTTGGGGTCCCCACAAAATGAGGAGCTGTGTTAAAGGGTCACGGCATCAGGAAGGTTGAGAACCGCTGCTGTAGAGGCTCCGTGGTGATCTCCAGGCCCTGCCTGGGTTAGCCCAGTGTCAGTTAAAGATAGGATCATTTTGAATTAACGCAGACACCAAAGAGCTAAACTAAGGTTTCCTGCTACATTCTGGAGTTTTTAGAGACTCCAAATCCAAACCCTTGTATTCTTGGAAGGTGTTATTAGTGGTTTAAGGAAGGTTTAAAATACCAGCTTCCTACATAACTGGTAATAGGGTATTTATATAGTGACTCTGCTTCCCAGAATTTCTAAAGTGATAGTAGACATTTTATCCTGATGACCGCCAGGGAACCTTCAAGTTCTGCCCATGAAACCAAAAGAGAGATCAGAATACATGCGAACGATTCAAGTAACAGGATAGTGAGCTCACGTCAGACCGATTTCCATATAAAAGGGTATTGGGATATGCGTGGCAAGCAGATAGTTCTTAAGGTGTCCAGGTAAACTCCTCAAAAAAGTGGCCACTGCCAGCGTAGTTTCAAGAATTCCATAAATACTCAAGTGTTGATGAGACATGTCATTTTTATCTCTGGCTTTCAGTTCTTGGAAAAATAATAGCCACCACATGTATTTGGCAGCAACAGATAGGTTAGGCACCAAATTACATGTGTGGCTCCATTCAATTGCTTACTGTTACTTTTGGCTAAAATAAATCTACCCGAACCTACAAAATAAGTGACTCAACCTAAATTCTAATCCGTGTGTGCATGATCTCACAGCATCCGCTCTCTCCACGCATATTGTGCCCCCTCAGCATCCATAAGAGGCTCTAACTTTTGAGCTGTTTTGAAGCTGGTATTTTTAATGATTTTTTTTTTTTTCTGGAGAGATGGCTCAGTGGTTAAGAGCTCTGGTCTACTTTATGTAATTTTTACTATGTAATACATGCGTAGGATACAAGTGGAAACTCTTCACATCTATAGCTGTGGGATGTCCAAACACATGTATCTTATGGGGAACTGGGACAGTGGACAGTGTCAAGGGAATGTGCCCATCCCTCATTCACAATTCAGTGTCCACTCAGTATACCTTCTGGGAGTCCGTGAGAATTATGTGAATAGCTGATATTGCCTCCTTTGGGTACGGATAAAGCTTGTCGTTTCAAAGCTAGCCAGGGATGTGGCCGCTGTGTACTGCCCTAAGAGACCTTTACACAAGTGCATAGCCCACACTGCACTCGGAGCTCATGCAGATGCCCCTTCCTGCGGGGGTTGGGAATGGTGCCCCCTGAGAGTTTCTTATGAAGAGATCTTTGTCAGGATCAGCAGAGCTCTTCGTAGGCAGGGGTGTCAGACCTCAGAAGGATGGGGCTTTGGTCCCTTTTCGCGATGTTCCTGGACATCCTTGATTTTCTTCAAGCAGTGCCACGCCAGCATGTGATGCAGTAATATACTTCTTTCACGACACTGCATTGGGCTCTAGGTCTTGAAAATTGCCTCATAGTTAATTGCTACTGTTGTGATTCTTGTTAGAACAGAAAAAAGAGTTCTGCTGTCCTTACATGTAAAAGTATGCATCCGTCTTTCCTAAGCAAGAAGATGAACTGTGTGAACATACTTGAGCTTTTGGTTGGTGCATAAGCATAAGCGATGGAGGGTGGGTAGATAAGAAGGGTGTTATTTTGGTCACGTATTCCAGCTTCATGATCTCACGTACAAATAGGCAGTCATCTGGCCGACCGACCTTGAGAATTTTCTAGAGACTTTCTGTCCCGTTACAGTGTTATTCCATAATTATGAAAGAAATGTAAAGGGTAGTTTTATTGTGATAACTGGAAGATTTGGGGAAAAGTGGAAGGGCTAAAGGACATTCAGGCAATTTGGATTACTGGTAAGATTTTTAAAAATGGGAAGAAGAAAGGTATTTCTATAAGAAGTAATTATGTAAAAATACAGTGAACAATGAACTAGTTTTACTGGGTTGGGAAACTTGAATTCTAAGACCTGAAAGGGACTGTCCAGCCTTCCTGTGCATCACGGTGCGCTCTCTCTCTCTCTCTCTCTCTCTCTCTCTCTATGGGACAACAGACAGATGTAAGTCTGTGTCTTATAATGTTAATGCGTTTGTGTATGATCTCTGCAGTTTATTATATTAATTGGCAATCCTGATATTCATAGAAGAAGAAATAAAAGGATTATGCATGAAGTTAACTATGTAGCAATTTTATAAAGATGCATTCCCCTTTTCTAGGGTGTTACACACCTATATGAAATACACACATAAGCAGAAGAGGGCAGGAAATACATATTCAGGCAGTTTAGGATTCAAGAGTCTTCCTCTAGTGAGAGGGCCTAGGGAAAGAGAAGTATTTTTCCATGTGTCAGAGAGACATCAATAAGTTCCTTCATGAGCTTTTTCTACTCGGGATAGAAGAATGTGGTGCTTTATGGAGTCTTGAAGATGTGTGTGTGTGTGAGATCAAGTTGGTTTTCCTCCCCTTTGGTTCAGCTTTTCTGACTCAGAAATTCATGACCTATGTGTTTAGGAAAGCCTTGAACTAATGTGTCTTGAAGGCCACACATTGAAAGTTCAGCTACCCTTAAGTAGATTCAGATGTGGATGAAGCTGTTGGTTTAATGCAATTGTTAACAGCAGAACATGGCAGAGATGAATGTATATATTTACCAGTGTTGTTTCTTGTTAAGATGTTACTGGCTTTGCATTTCTCATGGGGAATTAATTTTACATAAATTTTACAAAATTAATTTATGAGCAACCAAAAGCTATCAGAATGTGTTTGGTGACAATTTATATATAGTCTATCAGGCTCTTCTCTCTCTTTCTTAACTCTGGAATATTAAAAATACTGGAGTTACAGGGCAGGCCCTGAGCTGTGTACTGGTGTCATTGTTACCTCTAACCTAATATTTTGAAGTAGAATTGTTTAATTCCCTATGACTAAGGAATACTGTCTGGACTTGTGTAGTTTAGTTAACATTTAACCAGTCCAGCTGCAGTAGGTATCAGCAGTGAAAAGTAACATTTTTCAGAATGCCAGTTTGAACTGTCTTACTTTCTTTATTCAATTTAGAACATGTTTAACATTTTGTATAATTTACCGTAACCATATATGGTCATTGTTGAAATTTAAAAGTCATATATTTCAATGCATCTCCTTCATGCTGTTGGTAAAATATCCTGTACGTGCCCCCCCCCCCCAACGGAGTAAAAAACAAAAAGATGCTTTTCTCTCCCACTGTAGATCGGCGGATGCTGCAGCCTCACCATGTTCAGCGTACGGGACAACAGCTTAACTCAGATACCTGCAGAGGTGTCACAGGCCATGGAACTTCACGTCCTGGATGTGGCAGGGAACAGGTAAGGAAGGAGGAGAAGCAGATATATGTGTAGCCCCAGTCTTTGCTGTGCAGCTCTGCAGCGACGGCTTGGCCACATCTTACTGAGCAGTATACTGCTTAAGTGAACAGCCAGAGGGTTAGAGAACACTTGATGGGGACCTCACTGTACCAGAGCCAGGTGGAGCGGTGACAGCAAGCCTGAACATAGGCTACTTCAGAGCAGAGCCCTTCCCCCGCAGACCAGAGGCTTTGCAAGTCACAGTGGGCCTTAGCGATTCTTCATGTGCAAAATGAGCTGGACTCAGTTTGAACCTTTTTTGTTTGTTTCTTTTCTGTTTTGTTTTGTTTGTTTGTTTGTTTCTGAGGCGGGGTAGAGTTTCAGTGTGTTGCTCAGGCCATCCTCTTTCCCCAGCTCTCAGAAACCTGCGACCAGGGTTGTATACAACCCCCACCCCATGGCAGATTTTTAAACACGGGTCTTGATATTCTGTGTCAGTCACTCTCTACCTCCTGAATTTGTAAATGAAGTTGCGTGATTAAAACTTCGTGCGTAGGGACAGGCACATGCTCGTGGGGAGAGGCTCCCTAATGTTGGAGTAGCCAAATGATTCAGCACCCAAACCACAGGCAAAAGCAGATGTTGTCCCTGTGATACAGCAGCGTTGTTCTCCCATCCCTAGCTCTGTGCTGCAGCCAGGCTTCACTGTGTAGACTGCAGCCCCCTTTCAAGCATTCTGAGCTAGTTTCAGCACTACCTGTTTGCATGTAATGTGTGTCACCCTTCTGAGCTTGGTGTTCTCCTAAGGCACACGGTCTGCTTCTGTGTCATTGTATCACTTTTTCCACCACAGCATTTAGCACATGGTGGATAGCTGGTAAATATTTGGATGAACAAAGATGTCATTAGCTTTGCAGAATGAGCAGCATGGTGTTGCAAAATGTGTTAGAGCCTTCATTGCTAACAGGAATTTAAGGACTGCTCGTGAATGCGATAGGGATAGATAAGCAGTAACCTGTTAAACTGGAGAAAACCAATTTTCCTTGGTAAAGACCAACAGTGTGAAGAGTGCTGGGGGACTGGCTTGCACATACTGATTAGCTGGTCACTTAGGTCAGGCACAAGCCACCATGCTTCATCCTTTGCAGTGGACCCTAGACAGCCGGGCTAAATAAGCTGTAATTGGAGATGAGGTATGGCCTCAGAATGCTCACCCTCTAAAAGGTTACTCCTCTGGAGAAGTCTTGATAGATTCTTAAGACCATTAAATGGTGACGGGAAACTCAGGATTGATTTAGACTGAACGTCGATTTCTGCTAGTTGCTCACAAGCCCATAGAGCTTGGGAAGTACTGGTTTTTTTCAGCTTCCTTTCTGCAGCCTGGGAAACCTGGGGACTCTGAACATTTCCCTGGTCCTGGCTGTTCTGGTGAGCATGAATTTGCATTCTTAATTCTTGAGCAGAAAGATGGCCCTGACTTCTAAAACTGTTTTCTCTGAGTAGAGGCATCTTTCTCCAGTTCTCAAAGAAAAGGGAAGTTAATTTTTTATTATGCTTGTGTTGGGGTGGAGACATACATCCAGTTCAGAAGTTGATGTGCACAACTTTCATCTGAGTCAGTCAAATGTACCATCTTGTTCATTCATATATAGATTCTCAGCTTTTAAAAATGTGTAATCACTACTGTTGTAAAATCTTGGGATTGAAACCAGTAATGATAGCAAGACTGCCATGTTAGTGTTGAAACTTGCAGAAACACCGTCCAGGGGAGGTGATTGAAGTCGCAGCCTTTAGCTCTTGTATAAAAGCATTGCTTGTTGCTGAGATTGCCTGCTGCTAGGCAGGAACTTGCTTTAATGGACCCGATAGGATGTTTTACAGCAAGGGTGACTCTAGACTACCCCGTTGGAACCGTGAAACCCGTGGCAGTGGTAGAAGTGGCCTGTGTCATCAGCTACTCTTAACTCTCTTCCTAGAAGTACTCACCAGGCATACACAATAGGATGCTTGGGGCTCTTGCTTCAATAGAAGTAATACCAAATACTAGAAACTGTGTCTGTTAGTAGAGAAATAGGTTAGACTTTGGAGTTTCGTGTTGTGTGTGCATATATGTGCATAACATGTTCTAATAAAACAACATAGACTTTTAAAACCAGAATATTACATCATCAAAAATGAGATTTGTTTTTTCTGGATTCAAATGAAGACATGATTCTTGAGTAGAAAAGCAAGTATTCAATGGTGTTGCACTCAGTTTTGTTTTTTGTTGTTGTTGTTTTGTTTCCTAAAACAAAACCATGTTTGTATGCTACTCCAAGCTACTGATAACAACTCCCCATCAGTAGAGGATGGTGGAGACTTGCTGAGTACATGGGTCTTTTATTTGAGAGATCTTGCTACTTTTTTTTTTTTTTTTTCCATTGCTCTTATTCTAACTTTGGAAAACTGCTTGAAACTAGGAAATTCTGCTTGGAAGTAACAAACAGATGAAACATTAAAGCATAGCAGTGTTCGTCCATTGGTTGACATTGATGAACACTACATTAGCCAGGAGGCATGCTGGGTTCTTCAACACCTTTGGCAAAGCGGTTTCTGTAATATTCCTGAGGCGTGAAAGGTCACTTAAGGCCGGGGTTGTTTGCAGCTTGTTTGCTCTCATCCTTGACCATCAGTGCAAAACAGTAAATACTATTTTTATTTCTGGGGCATGTGGTGTTAAATGGAACAGAGAGGTGTGTGCAAGCAAGACCAGGCTGCTTGTGCTGATTCTGTGGCACAGAGAAGTGCCGAGTTAAAATTTAAAATGTACCTACTCCCCTGGAAACCTGGAGTGTATTTATATCATTTTTCTGACTTCTAGTTGGACGGACGGTTTTCCTGAGCGAAGCAGGACAGAGTGTGTCTGTCTGCAGTGAGTAGGCCACGGCGTCCTGGGAAGGGGCTCGGCCTGGCCAGCAGAATGTGTGCAGGCTGGGAAGGGGCAGGGACACTACAGAGAACAGTTCTGTTGAGGACGGGCTGGCGTGTGGCGCGCACTTGGTCAGAGCGTCCATGTTGGAGCTGGCTGGCACTTCAGCTATTTGCAGGGAAGCCAGTGTTTGAGACAACTCGTTAATGTGAGTTGGAATACGATTATAAGGCCTGCTGTTGTAGAGTCTAGTAATTTATTTTAGCTTTTATCACCCACTTGTCATCCTTGGAAGCTGTTATTTGTTGGTGATATTTTTAGCCTTCTGATTGCCTTTGCCGGTGCTCGCTGGGAAGCTGGTGATTGCTCTGAGGCATTGGGGGAGCAGATTGTCTGTTTGGTGCCAGTTTTCAAGTCTTGATCATTTTTTTCTCCCTTGTGCAGTTGTGAATAAGAACAGCAGAGTTACTGACTATAATGTTCTTGAGCAACACTTGAAACGTCTAATGTTTTAGAGGATAGTTGCTTAACTCCTGTTTTAAAAGAAACTGTAAAAATCCAGAACATTTCATTTCTGTAATATGAAAGTGTTTTTTCTATGTGATACTTGTGCTGTGTGTTCGTGTGTCTGTCTGTGTCAGTGCTTCTTGGAGTCAAACCCCAGGGCCTTGTACCTGCTAGGCCAGTGCCCCCGCACTGGGCTGTGCCCTCAGTCTTGTAATGGGTATTCACACATGTGTAAAATGTATGCACATACCTCTCTCTCAGTGCATGGCAAAAAAAAAAAATTGTCTTTAATGTTGAATTAGAATGTGTATACAACAGAGTTGTTATAGAGAAAGCAATGACTTTTGGGTACCACGAGAGATTTCGCTTGTCTCACTTGAGGAGCAAACACATCTAAGTGAGGAGAGGGTGGAGACAAGCTGCTTTCCCTCCCAGATATCCTTGTATTGGGCTGAGCTCTTCACTACAAGGAAACCAGTGTGACCTTCATTAGTGAACTGTTGTCGTAGTTAGGTTTCTGTTGCCCTGATAGAGGCCATTACCAAAAGCAACTTGGGGAAGGAAGTATCTGTTTTATCTTACACTTTCAGGTGACAGTCTATCACTGGGGGAAGCCGAGGCGGGAACTTGGAGGCAGGATCGGAAGCAGAAGCCGTGAAGGAATGCTGTTTATTAGCTTGCTGCCTCTGGCTTGCTCAGGTTCCTTTCTTATACATCCTAAGACCACTGGATGTGGCATCAGCCACAATGAGTGGGTGAATGAGCCCTCCTGCCTTCTCAATCATTAGTCGAGAAAATGCCCTGGGTAGGCAATTTGGATGGAGGTATTTTCTTAATTGAGGTTCTTCTCAGATAACTGTAGTTCCTGTCAAGTTGACTGAAAAAACAGGGGCTAGGTGTGGTGGCACATGCCTTTAATCCCAGCACTTGGGAGGCAGAAGCAGTCAGATCTCTGTGAGTTGGAGGCCAATCTGGTCTACAAGTTAAGTTCAGGACAGCTAGGGCTCTGTTACACAAAGAGACCCTGTTTCACAAAACAAAAAGAAAGGAAAGATGGAAGGAAAAGAAAAAAACAAAGCAAAAAAACCCAAAAACAAACAAAGAAAAAATAGAACCAACCAGGACAATTGACCCTTTGCCATCTTGACACACAAACATATCAGTATCCATTTGTAACCTTTTTTTCATGCCCATAATTTATATTAGTGTCACAATATAAAACACAAACACCTTTAAAACCCCCACAGTCTTTAAAAGATTCAAACACTGTAGAAGTTTAATCTCTAAATTATCCCAAATCTCTCAACTGTGAGCTCCTGTTTAAAAAGGAAAAAAAAAAAAAAGGCCTACATACTTTTTTATTGCAAGAGGGAAAAATGGGCAAAACCAGATCACAGTCATGTCAAGTCAAAGTAAAACTGAAGTTCAGAAGTATAAACAGCTCCGTGTCTGATGCCTGGGATTGGTGGTGGTCTTGGCTCTAAAGGGAGGCTGCATATCTTCAGCTCTGTCATTCACAGAAAACACAGCTTATGTCATAGGCTCAGGCCAGCTTCACTTCACAGCTGCTGCCACCCTTGGTGGTTTGGTCCTGGCATCGCCAACATGCTGGATCCTCGCAGGCCGCACCTTCAGCAATGGCCGCCTGGCTTCTCTCTAGGGATTCTGATTCTGCCACACAGTAACATGCCTCAGCTTTTCTCGATGACCCCTTCAGTCCTGGGGTCTCTATAACTGAGACTGCACCTTCACCAAGGCCTCTCCTGGCCTCTCACAGTGCCAAGCCTCAGCTGCTCTCCACGACTTCCTTAGGCCTTCAAATCTAGTGCCACTTTGAGACTCTCAGACATTACCAAGTCCCGCTGCCAGCATCACATGCAGCCTGGCCCCTCTGGACCGTGACTTTTATGCCCTGGCTGCTAATCCCAAGATTGGCCGGAGAAAAACCAGCTCCACCATTTTGAGCCAAATTTGGAGCAAGCTCTATTAAATACCAACCAGGATGGACTTTGGTCAGGATCACTCCTTGGAATTTCCAGCTGAGTGGTCCTGAGACACGTTTATAAGATCGTTTATAAGCAGGCACTTATGCAGACAAAAGCCACAGGCTACCGTACTTTCCCATGAAGTTTTATTTTCCAAGAACTTCATGGGTATTACATGACCCTGGGGAAAATATTCCCAGAAGTACTTACCTCAGTATGCTGGTCTCGTAATCAGTGCCTGCTGGCTGGGTTTATGAAGCCAGAGTCATTTGGGAAGAAGGAACCACAACTGAGACAATGCCTCCATCAGACTGATCTGTGAGAATCCCTGTGGGGCATTTTCTTAATGATTGATGTGAGAGGGCCCAGCTCACTGGACTGTGCCACCCCTGGGCTGGTGGTCCTGGCTATCTAAGGAAGCAGGCTGAGCAAGCCAGTAAGCAGCAAGCACTCCTCCCTGGCCTCTGCATCAGTTCCTGCCTCCAGGTTCCTGCTGGAGTTCCTACCCTGACTCCGATGGTTAATGAACTGTGCTGTGGAAGTGTAAGCACCATAAGCCCCATTCTCTCCGAGTTGTTTTTGGTCCTGGTATTTTATCACCGTAATAGAAACCCCGAGTAGGACAGCAGCTATTTTCTCAGCTCCACCTAACCAGCGTCAATTGTTCTGGAAACAAAGGTTTTACTTCAGCGTTACTGGTCTTGTGCTAATCGTATCTGATTCTTCAATTTACCTGACAGATTCTGAAGTCAGAATACCGCACAAATGGTCCCAGGAGAGTCTTTGCTCTCCTCTGAAACTTTACAAGCCAGGCCTCCGTTGTCTGCCCTGCTCCTGTCATTTCACCTTCAAATCTTTCATGAACTACCCCACCTTACTCTTCAGTACTTAGTGTCATTCCTAGCCCAAAGTTCCAGACACTGTCTCAGTCCCCAGCAAAACAACATGGCCTGTCACAGCAGTAAACCCTAACCAGGCTACCAATTTCTATACTAGTTAAGTTTTTATTGCTTTGATAGACATCATGACCCAGCGAGTTGGTAGAGAAAGGGTTTATTTCAGCCCGGCCTCTCAGGTACTAGCCCATCACCGTTGCAACTTTTATGAAGCACATTCTTGAGAGTTGCGGTCTATCAAATATTCAGGTGTCACATTTCAACTTTTTAAAGCGTATTTATGTGGATTCTGTCATCTGAAACTAAATTAATTGATGGGATTGCTAGTCTGAGAGCTGGGAGTGATTGGGAACCAGAAGATCAAAGTTTACCTGGGGTACCTGGAAGGCTCTCCCAGAGACAGCGGGTGGGGGGTGGCTCCTCATCTCTGGTTCTGGCACAACCTGAAGTCTTTGCCTCTCTGCCTCTCTCCTTCCTACCCCCCACCCCCGGACTCCCAGCCACTGAGGCTGCAGCCCTCCGCAGTGGTAAGAGCTGTGTCTGGGACCATTTTCCACTCTTAAACTGAAACCCAACTCAAGGCCCTCAAATGTGGCTTCTACTTTCTTTGGATATTTAGCCCTGTGTCGTGCAGGTCCTACAGAGCAGGTAGCAGTAAAGAGAAGTGGGAACCTCGTGGAAGACTCTACTGGCAAATCATATTAGGAACACAGTATCTTTATTTACTCCGGACCCAATCTCAGGGCTCTCGTTTTTTATTTTCTTCTCGTTTATGTTAAGAGGGGTCAATTCTCCCGACCTTTCAGGTGGTGACATCTCTTGTTTTATCCCAGGTTGCATCATCTTCCCCTGTCGCTGACCAACCTGAAGCTAAAAGCCCTGTGGTTATCTGACAACCAGTCCCAGCCTCTCCTCACCTTCCAGACAGACACGGACCGTACCACAGGGGAGAAGATTTTAACCTGTGTCTTACTTCCTCAGCTGCCTTCTGAACCCACCTGCCAAGGTGACTTTGTTTTAGGGACAGTGAGCTGGGGCTAACGTCTGCCCACATGGCCTCCTCCTCCCAAGCATGCTTGAGTTTTGTTCAGTTTGCCTAACTAGAGGCAAGGTGAGACATCTGTGGGCTACTCCGGAAGGGTCCCTAGGCCTTCACAGGAAAAGACCACTCACATGTATTCATGTCGGAAATTGTGAAAGCAACCCTTTGGTTTGCTATGACACAGTAAGGATAGAAGCATAGTTCTCATCAAAGGGCTGGTGTGTTAAAATCGAAACTGGTATTGGAGGATTGCCAGTTAACGCCATCGGCACAGAATCCCGCGAGTTGCTTTGAATCATTATGTCTTTGTTTTGTAAATTTTGTGCTTAAAAAATATTGACAGAAACATGATGGTATGAATCCATTGCTGAGGGAGATGGGTTTGGTAGGCATGCGAGAGTTCTCCGAGGTGGAACACTCCAGAATGACCTTGATGATCTCAGGAAAGTGTAGCAGAAACACCACAAAGGAAAAGTACCAGCCCCATTTGAGTGCAAGCACATCACAGCCAGGAAAACAAAACAAATGAAAAGTATGTCCTTAGTGGGTGAGAAGAGCCACAAGAGCACGCAGCACTACATTTTAACCTTTCATAATGAAACATTAAGTGTCCCACTCTATCAAATACCTCAGGGGATCTTAAATGGAGTTCTGTTATAAAGGACTAATTCTGCCCAAACCTTTGTGCTCCTTTTTTTTTTATAGTTTAACTGAAAACAAAGTTTGGAGGTTGAAACAGTGGTCTGCCCTCCTTATTTTTGGCACTGTGGGTCTCCATGTGAATTCCAGCCAGTCAGCCACTAAATTATAGGGTAGCCCTTCCCAGTCCCATGGCCAGCATTCCCTGCTAAGGTTGTTTCTGTCACTGCAGAGAGTCTGCCTCGCTGTGGTGCCCTGGAGAGCCTGGTAAATGACGTCTCTGATGAAACCTGGCATGACCGCACAGTACACAGAGTCAGTGCGATCCGATTTTTGGAAGATGAAAAGGATGAAGATGAAAATGAAACGGTATGAGGGTGGACACTCTTCCAAAATTAACAGTGGCCCCTAATATGGATTTTCTTTGTTTTCACATAGTGTATTTTCTATTTTGCCTTTAATATCTAGGATTCTTTTTTTTTTTTTAGCCTAGTTCTCAAGGGACTGAGTCATGACATGTAAATGGGGCAGGTTGAACTTTCTGATGTTGTTATTGGAATAGATTTTGATGTGTTTTTTTTTTCTTTTTTTCTTTTTTCCTTCCTTCCTTTTTTTTTTTTTTTTTTTGCTTGTGTAAATGCAGTCTTTTTCTATCTCCAGTGCCACTCATGGCCAGGCTGTGTTCACTCCTTTGTAATGTCATTATGTGATTCAATACAAGACATCTCTCTTTCTTGGCATACCAAGCTATCATGGCCTTTGTGTAAAGTTTTGCCATCTTGCTTGAACTATCTTGGCAAGGTTCTATTTAGAAATTAGAAGCGTAGTTGGAAGCTCTTTGGCTCACATTTGAAAATGTCTCTCAGACACTCCGTGTCCCAGCTCTTGACACTGGTTCATACTTGCTGAACTTTTTTTTATGATTTTGATTTTCAGTCATGTATATGCATGTGTATTTGAGGATGCTTGTTGCCTGTGGAGTCTGGAAGAGGCTTCCGGATGCCCTGGCACTGGCTGTAGTTAAAGGCAACTTTGATCTATCCAACATGGATGCTGGACTCAGAGCCCCAATGCTGGCTTTTTTAAACTCTCTGTACCAGCTGGGGTTTTCATAGGCAGGGCTTGGAGGGGGTGCTCGCAGTTCCCCAGACAAGGCCGGTTTACAATTATTGCTGTTGTCTTTATTAGTCCAGCTGTTACCAGATGGGACTTTAAGCATCTGCCTTAGTAGAGAGCAGAATGGGAGCCAGGGATGATAACTTCAAAGCCAGTGTTTCTTTAAGGCTTAACCACAGAGGTTTCAGAGTGTAATTACTTCAGTGGTGGTTTTACTCCCTCAGAAATGCTTTGTTACACTAATGTGTTCAAGATAGGTCTTTGGAAAGATGTAAACGCTGCTTTACGAGATAATGAGCATGTCATATATTAACTAATAGGAAAATTTACAAATTGCTAAGCCCTGTGACTTAACTCTCAGCACTGTGGTCTTTACTAGAAGAACCTGCACTTTCACCACAGCAGCAAATGGCACACAGCAGTCAAACCAGATGAAGTCCTTCTTTCTTACTTTCTCTTTTTCAACTCCCAAGCCTTGAGGGGGTAAAGGAAACCAGAGCTACTCTGAATAATAGAAGAACATTCTAGCAAATTTAATCTAGGATATTAATTTATTTTTCTTCTTTACTCCATAACTATACCTTAAATTTTGTTAATTTCCGTGAACACGTAGAAAATTATTATTTTATACTAATATTTTAAAATTATTCCTTTATTCTAAAAGTAGTATATCCAGTCATGACTATGAAATTACCCTAATGTTCCATGAACATGGGGTGAGCAGCTTATGAACGCACATAGCTGTGAAGAAAGCTCTTTCTCCTGGAACTCGGATTTCTGAAGTTGTAAAATTGGTATTGGAATGCTAATGCTTCAGGGCTGCATGGTTTGAGACAGTCATGGATAAAACCAAACACTCGGGCCTCTGTTTGTTTGCAGAGAACACTTCAGAGGCGCGCCACCCCACACCCAGGGGAATTAAAGAACATGAAAAAGACGGTGGAGAATTTACGGAACGACATGAATGCTGCTAAAGGACTGGATTCAAACAAAAACGAGGTCAGCCACGCCGCTGACCGTGTCACCACGTCGGTGTAGCAGTCGCCTCTGCGTCCTACCTGCCGTGTCTTCCCTGCTGTAGAGATGCCCCCGTGCGTCCGCCGAGCTGCCCGCATTCCTCGTGCTCACCACGCCTGTGCCAGGATGCTGCTCTAGCACAAAGTGCCTTACGTGTCCCTCAGTCAGCCACCCGCGCCAGTAGTCTCCCACCCTGATTGTGTCTCAATTTCAGTTTTGCATAATAAGTAGAATACACTACTGTCAACATCTGATCTTCGTTTTTGTCTTATGTTGGGGTTTGAGAGAGCAGGCAGGGAGATTACGGCCCTCGGCCCTCCATTGAGTGCTGGACATTTTGAACCCACGTTCTTATGGACCTACTGATGAGAGGAAGCTTTATGTGTGGAAAAAAAAAAGATACTTTTTTAACCTTTCTTGGCAGCTCAGATGGTGTAAATTTTAAAATTTTATATAGGTATTTCATAAAGAAAATTATGTATTTCTTTGTTATTTTATCTTGAATACGGTACATATTTTCGTATTTGTGAAGAAAAACAAATTAGGCCTAAAGTATTCGTTCTTGCCTGTACCACCCACTTCGTGCCTTACTGTATTCTGTCCTGTCACACCAGTTGTAAACAGTGACCGTCCCTGAGCAACAAGATGGGAACACAGGTGTGGTCATTTGAAAGCAGCGTTGCATTTTAATCAGTCACCTCCTGATTTGTTTGTTAACCAAAATGATGAATTTACCAGTGACTTGTAAGCTTCATCGAGTTATTTCTTGGAAAAGACAAGCCAAAGGATCAGACTGCTGACACATCATTTCCCACGAGCTCCCTCTTCCTGCCTGAATTCCGAGGAGCACAGCGTCAGACTGCCTACTCCAAAGGCATGTGCGCCATTTGCGTAATAATACGCAGCAGAAAAGCACAGAAAAGAAAAGACTGGTTCAGAAACTCTGCGGATCAGTAACTTAAGTGTTGCAGAAGAATGACTCTTGTCAAAGAAAGCTTTAAAAGTTTTATATCCAGATAACAGACCACAATAAAGCAAAATAACCTATGCCGTAATGGAGACGTTGCTGTCTTTATACAAGTGCACTTTGATCTGTAAATAGTTTTAATCAGAGCATAACAAAACACTGCTTCGTGGTTTACTTTTAAAAATGCTAATTTAAGGGGTATGTTTTAAATGTGTTTTTGTTGTTTTCCTTTTACGTATGCTGTGATGAAAGAGAAAATGCAAAGTGCCAGTCACTGTGTGGTGTCTGGGAAAATCATTGGTTATGTTTTTGGGGGGTCCCCTATGAAATAAACTCATCTTGGATATTGGCCATAGCTTCTTAAAAATTGTTACTTTGTGTGTTCAAAATGATAGCATATAACTGAGCTCTTGCACAGAGTACCTCTATCCACTGAATATCTAGGTTTTAGCCAGTTTGTTTAGAGTAACTGCTGATGAGACTATTCGTGAGTCATTTTTCCACACAGGGCAGAGCCCAGAACAGGCTTCTGTGTGGTTCATCGTTGTGAGCTGTGACATCTGGCCAGTTGGACTCTTTGGAAACCCATTTTCAACCAGCCAAATGTAAGACCTCTTCGGCACCCTCAGTGCATGCAATTGGCATGTGCGTGTGTATACGCATTTTTAAAACCCTGGAGGTGAAAGTACATGGCGTTTCGAGGTTTTCAGCTTTTCCTCCTAGTTAATGGGGGACCCGTTTTGTTTTCTCCATTTTAAGAGTCTGACATATTCTGATTTTAGGCCTAGAAAACTGATCATTGGAATTCAAGGACTGATCCTATGCAGGTAAATGAAGAGAATTTGTTTTAAGAGAGTCATATGACTCTAAAAAACAAACCAAACTTTTCCAGTGTATTTTGTTTGTGGGTTTCACAGAAAGGCCGGCATTTGCCACTCAGTTGTAGCTTGGCTTTTATGAGTAGGCAGAGGGTAGGGAGAGACACACAGAGATTGGGGGAGGGGAAATTGCTACTGTGGGAAATGCTTTGTGCCTGGGTATTTGCTTCCTTTGGCCTGTTGTCTTTATCCATGTCCACCTGGCTGGTTTGTTCTGATTTGAGTCTGGGGTTTTGTTTCGTCTTGATCTTTTGTGTTGGCTGACTCTGTGGTGCTCTTAAACTTCAGGGTGGTGAATCCAGACTGAGGCTACACAGTGGAGTCAGTACTCCGCTGAACAGCTCCAGCCTCGGGATGCCCAGCCTTCCTGAGAAGGAAAGAACGTGAAAACTTGCATTAACCGAAGCTCCTCACCCTTTGGCGTGTGTATGGGGCAGGGGGAGGGCATCACTTGCTGTCACTGTCCCCCATGCTCCTTCCTTTAGGAAAGGGTGGAGTTCGGGCTTCCAGTGCGTTAGGTGTCTGGGGAGATTAACAGGTAAAGGTAGAAAAAGATAATGTTTGTAGGAACCTTTTATTCCCCCCCCCTTTTTTTTAACAAAGGAGTTATATTCAGTGGATAAAGTTGTAAACCAATAAAGACCACAACGTTAGAGGAGTCAAAGAAATAGTGAGGACCAGAAAGAAACTGCAAAATGATTACCAACATGCTGCTTTTCTTCTGGAAATTTTAGAACCAACTCTTAAGGGCGCACTAACTTGTCATCTGTAGGGGAAGAAACAGCAGCCTTTTTGCACAGCAGCCCCTTCTGCCATGGGAGAGTGCCGTGCCCATGAAGACATAGTTAATGGGTGGGTGAAGGAAAAAATGTTTCTGCCAGGAAGCGACTCTGAAAAGCCAGCCCTGCCTTTGTGAAACTGCTCTCCTGCACCACGGGCACCTCTGACAGCTGTGTGTGTGTGGGGGGACTCTGCACTAGCACTGCTGGGGGACACAGGCGACAGCCTTGGAGAGATGAAATCTCACTTCACCAGGTATGGTAGACTTGCTTCACCCAGCTTTCCAAAGAGCCGCTCAAAAGTGTTTTAGAGCAGCCCTCAGCTTTGGATTGTGGAGAACCCAAGACACTCAAAAGTCTCGATATGCTGCCTGTCACCTTCAACCAACTGTCAACACAAGACCAAGAGACTTCTTTAAGGGGACTGGAATTATATTTTTAAATACACACAGGAAAAAAGACAGCTTGCATGCTTAGTAGAAAGAAAGGAAGGGAAGGAAAGAAAGAAAGGGTGAAAGTGTGCTCTTTAGCATTCTGGAGTTAATTTTTTTGGAGTTAAGATGCCAATGAAATCATGAGTTTGAATCCCAGCCAGGCCACGTGGGCTTGATTAAGCGATGTAGCCTCTAATAGCTTACAAGGAAACCTAATGGAATATGTGGAACACAAGCATTCAGGAAATTGATGCTGCTGCTATTTCAGACCCTGCTGCTGTGACAGTGATGTCAGTAGGAGCTCAGCAAACCGCCCCTCATAGCAGGTGGCCGTTTCAGGAGCATACTAGTCCCACTTTTTCGGTGTAGCTTTTCCACTGTTTTCAGTAGAGGCCCCCAAGTTCTATGAGGGGAGCTTCTTGCTCAGTAGCCCAGCAAAAATTTGCTGGCTTCCAGCCGGCAGTCCTCTGGCCTCTGCTCCCTGGGGCTAGGATTACAGACCTGCACCACCTTGACTAATTCGGATAAGTGTGTTTTAATTAGTTTAGTCAATGGTGAGGTTTTCCGCGGTCTCTGTCAAACATCCTCATTTTTAGTGGACTTACGAACTACTCTTAAGATAAAACTAATTTCTACCAAGAAACTGTTAAGTGCCCAATCAAGGAAAAACTTTCCCACAAAATATTTTTCCATTTTTCCATGCCTTCGTTTTATAGTTTGGGTCAGTGGGACACATCTTCTTCTTTTTATCTCAGCATTAACTGTGGGGTTTTATAATTTCCTCCCTATTCACGTACTGTGTTCTGTCTCATTTCTCCAGCCTAGGAGTGCCTAGGCTGGAATGGATGGGAGGCAGGAGGTAACTTTAGAAGGAACATCATGAAGTAACACCCCCTTCCCCTCCCCCTCCAGGAACAATGCACAGGTTAGTGCAGGCTGAGCTGGGAGGGCAGAGTTGGCTGGCTGCTTGCTGGGTGTTTCTTTAAAGGGCAGAGGCAGACTGCTGGCTGGAAAGGGAGACTAACCGGAAGAACCTGATGGGGAGCCTCTGCATCTGCAGGCTGCAGGGAGGGTTTGTGTTCTTGCCTGTTGGCCAGAGAGCAGGTAGGCAGTAACCATGACAGGCAAGAATCTGGTAGTGTCCCGCCGCCCCCACTTCTTTTGAGGCATCAACATCTAACTTCCAAACAGAAGATGGGCTGCTCCTGGTTAGGTAGGAGGCCCATGGCTGCCGCATCCAGGTGCCCCTCCCACCCAGCCGACCGAACACCTGTCTGTTTTCCAGAACGACCCCGTGAAGTAGGTCACAGCCCCACTTTGTTGCAAAGCCATGAATTAAGATTCAAACGATTTCATAAATAAGCCCAAGATCAAGCCGTAAATCAAAGCTGGAATTTAAATCTGCTGCTCTGCTGTCTCGCATGTGTGGTGGCCGTTTTCTTCCCGTTTATGTCCCTCTCGAAGCCAGAGCTGTAACCCTGCAATTACCTTTGGAGTTGCATCGATAGTGCTGAGGAGGCTTTGGCCTCAATGCACTCAGGTGAGGCAGGCCTAAATTACGGACAGACGCTGATGTGGAACTACGTGAAACTTAAGCAGAGCCAGGCCTCCTCTTTATCTAGCTGTGGTTGCTCCCGCTCACCTCTCAAACATTCCACACTGCAGTGTCCTACTTAAATGCTGCGGGAATCCCCACCGGGCGATACTAAATCATCAGAAACTTGGGGGAGAACTTACTTGCTTAGTGGGTGACCAGAACAAATGGACGTTTCCATGTTAACTGGAGACCACTTAGGAACCCGAGCTCTGAGGCGGGAAGCTCTAGAGCAGGCCAATCAGGAATTGGAAAGAAGGCAAATACTAGGAAATGTACAGGATGCCTCTTGACCTTTATACACTTTGAGGATAAGAAATGTGACTGACATACTAAGATCTGTACACCTAAAGAAGCTAAGCAAAAAGGAAGACCCTGGGTAAGATGATCAGTCCTCACTCAGACAAATGGGATGGTCGTTGGAAGAGGGAGAAAACAAGGAACAAGATAGGAGCCTACCACAGAGGGCCTCAGAAAGACTCTACCCAGCAGGGTGTTGAAGCAGATGGTGAGACTCAACCAAACTTTGGGCAGAGTGCAGGGAATCTTATGAAGGAAGCAAGAGATGAAAGACCTGGAAGGGACAGGAGCTCCACAAGGAGAGTAACGGAACCAAAAGATCTGGGCCAAGGGGTCTTTTTTGAGACCGATTCTCCAACTAAGGGCCATGCATGGATATAACCTAGAACCCCTGCACAGAGGTAGCCCATGGCAGCTCAGTCTCCAAGTGGGTTCCCTAGTAAGGGGAACAGGGGCTTACTCTGACATAAACTCAGTGGCTGGCTCTTTGGTGGTGGGTGGCTGCAGGGGGGGGGGGGAGCAGCCTTAACAGGCTACAGAGAAAGACACTGCAGCCAGCTGATGAAACCTGATAAGCTAGGGTCAGAGGGAAGGGGAGGAATACCTCCCCTATCAGTGGATTTGGGGAGGGCCATGGAAGGAGATGAGGGAGGGAGAGTGGGATTGGGAGGGGGGTACATCTGGGATACAAAGTGAATAGACTGTAATTAATAAAAAATTAATTAAAAAAGAAACCTATTATGAAACTTAAAAAAAACATGACTCTTTCATATTTAAAATCTCCCTTTGAAAAGGCTTGCTGTGAAAGTTGTGACAAACTGTATTGCCCTTGTGTAGAGCCTTTCTTAAAGGAACAGAAAGCTAAGTGACTACCCCAGCTTTAACTTTCTTTGAAACCGGCTCTACTGCCTGGCGGCAGAAAGAGAAAGCTTCGTGCCGAGTCTGCACGCCAAGAAACTAGACTGGCACTGGGGGTGGAGTAGGGAGACACCCTGCTTGATCCCAGAGAATATAAATACTGCTTTAGGCGGCTCCTGGAAGTAAGTCCCGATTCTAATAAGTAGTTTGAGGAAAGCTGCCAAATGAGCGGGTTGCCCTGAACACCTGAGAAAACACTCAGTGGACGTGGGCTCTTCGGTCTCGGGCCATCTTCTCTGGTGCTCAAGCACAGGGGCTGCTGCCTGTTGCCCTTCCTCCAGCTGGAGGTGCGAGTGCTTGTTTGTTTAAGCCTAACTCAGCACTGCGTGGAAAAACAAGACAACAGGCTTACTTGTCCAGGCATTGAAAGTTCTTCCTGAATTTTCTGTCAGGCCCATTGGGCCCAGAGGCAAGAGGGTGCGGTGAGTTTCGGTATTAGTTTG